CGTTGAAAAAAAAAAAACCTACAACTTCAAGAACTTAAAGACTCTTACTGATCAAGACCTTGATTGTAGCTTATTAATTTCTATTATTTAAAAGCAATCATGTTTTGAAAGATTGATCGCTTCTTACTTTTCCTGATAAAACCGTGCATTCAACAAAGTTGGAAGTGAGAAAAGTGATCACATACAGATTCTCTGTTTAATACCCTATTTCTGTAATTTCTTGGAAAGTTTTATCAGGGGAAATCAAGAAAGGAGTTAACCTGTGGGGAATACAATGGAAAATCATGCACAGTCTGACACTAGAGGAAGGTGGCTGAAGATGTGTCCTGTTGGGCTTAGGGAAGTCAGTCTGGTGTCTGCAATCTGCCAAAGATAATTGACCAATCAGTCAACAAGAACAATCAAGAAGTGACTAGATATTATAACGTATCCATTTTTGGTTGCAATAACAAAAAAAATAATATGGAAGGAAAGGCAAATCATATTCTGAATATCATTTTACGTCAACTAACACCCATGTATAAAGCAGATTTGTATTCACAGCTCATGATGGATTTTTAGAATATGTTCAACAGAATGCATGTAGGTACTCAAAAATTTCTGTTGAATCGGTAACCATATTAATAGGGAGAAAAATGACAATACGTTTAAATTTATTAATGCTGCCACATACCTGCACAGCCAGATTTCTTTCAGCTATATACTCTTCCAACAAATCAGAAAATGGACAAGAGTGGAGCAAATATGGTAAACAATCATAATCTCTAATGTTCTCCAAACAAAACCATCTGACAATCTGTATTTTCTACTACAGATATCATTACTAATTATAGAATGTAAGTCTTAACACTAAAACATAAACTAAGCTCTAAAGAGTTAACTTTCTGATTAGAGCAGCAACAGATGCTGGGAACTGATGGTGCCTGTTTCTGGTATGAGTCTCTACTGCTGTTGGCCACATGTTTTAACAAGTCTGCTAATGACAACCAGAAACCACATTTAAGTTTTTTGATAAAACCATTTAAGAACATTAGAAATACTCGTGATTTGAATTTTTTTTAAAAAGCCACCTTGAAGTGATACTTCAGAAACAAATGTCTCCGTTCAACTTGAATCACAGAAAGTTGGAGCAAGATGTGTCCTTGGATATTATTTAGTTAGCTTATTTACAGGTGAGGAGCTTGAAGCCAGGGTGTTAAGTGACTTGGTTATGGTCATATGCAATTTCCTAGGTTAGGTAAATTTTATAAAAATTTTACTAAAAGCTCTTACCAAACCTCAGTCCATCAGTAGTGATGGGCAAAATAGCAAAGTGTTATGAGGGTCACCTGCTTCTGTTTGTTGCTATTCCTTCATTTGTGTCACAGAGACAAACTAGTAAAGGATATCAGAGAGCTGGCCTTTGAAATTCCAAGTCCAGTATACTATTTTAACCTCATTATTCTGTTACTCTAATAAATAAAGCCAAGCTGTCACCTTGAATGGTGGCAGGCAAAATTGTTGCTAGCAGGAGAAGAAAGTATTTTCCAAATGTTGAGTGTGTCCACAAGCTGGACTTTACCCCATAAAGGACTGCGCCAAGCCTGGAGCCAACGTCAACCAAGACCTTTCCCGACAGATCAGGGAGGACATGATGATAAATGAACTTCAATTCCATGAGGGAGAAGGAATGAGAAATAAATCCTGGAGAATTAGAACAGAATAAACATCAAATTGTACTTGGGTATTAAATATTCTCTTCTGTATTTTTAATTCTTTTAACCAAATTTATAAAGCATATTTCTTTTTTCTTTTTTTTACTGTTATTTTTTAATGTTTTAATTATTTTTGAAGGGGAGAGAGAGACAAAGCATGAGCAGGGGAAGAGCAGAGAGAGAGGGAGACACAGAATTCGAAGCAGGCTCCAGGCTCTGAGCTGTCAGCACAAAGCCTGATGAGGGGCTTGAACTCACGAACTGTGAGATCATGACCTGAGCCAAAGTTGGACGCTTAACTGACTGAACCACCCAGGCACCCCTCTTTTGTAATTTTTTAAAATGTTTATTTTTGAGACAGAGAGAGAGAGAGAGAGAGAGAGAGAGAGAGAGAAGGAGGAAGGGAGGGGCAGAGAGAGATGGAAACACAGAATCTGAAGCAGGCTCCAGGCTCTGAGCTGTCAGCACAGAGCCCGACGTGGGGTGTGAACCCACAAATGGTGAGATTATGACCTGAGCTGAAGTTGGATGCCCAATAGATTGAGCCACCCAGGTGCCCCTATAAAGCATATTTCATGTTTTTCTCTTCATCAACAAAGGCCATTCAGAGGTTATTTAGAAAAAATTAATGTGATAATTTTGTATTCATTCACTCTGACCTGTATTAGAGAAGAATAAACATGAAGTCTCTGACATTTAGGGAACAGCTACTTAGCAACCTGTCCCTATCCCTGTGCCCCTCACTTCCTTGTCCTTGGTTTTTCTCTTCTTTTCCCTAGGACTCTTATTCTGTAGGATGCTTCCTAACTCCCATACCATCTGGCTTTCTCCCCTTATCCCAGAGCAACCACAGAACAGCCACACACTACTGCATAGAACACACACTATCAAATGAATGACCATCTCTGGAGTTGTGCAGTGTGGCAGCCCTGACCAACCTAAAATGTGTTCTGGAGTGCAGGAGGAGGCTGGTATGAGGGGAGGCAAAGACATTCCCATAAATTATTTTTATTTCTGAGTTTAATTGCTACAATTTTTTAACTGTTACAAGCCTCCTAGCTCATCTCACTCCATTGTTTGTGTAATCAAGTATCTGGAAGAGCCTGAGTATATTTTTTAAAGACTTGCTATATTATGTTCTACATAATACAATGGTAGGAAGGGGAGATACTTTGGCTATAAGTAATAGATGGTGGGAAAGAAAATGGGAAGCAGGCAGGCTAATCCCTTGGAAGGAAATAAAGCGTTTGACCACTACTATCCTTTTCTGCCTAGAATCCTCATCCTCACTACCCTCTTTGTCACATTAGTGCTTCTGCCTTGGGTTACAGAGTCATCATTAGTGTCTTACAGCTAGACAAGCCCCTTTTCATAGAAGGAGAGTTCCACAAGATGATAGTTTTTTTCAGATTCACTGTAGTTATATGGGCTGGCCTGCACACCTAGTCACTACTTACAACCTGATTTCTATGGGAAAATGCATCTATTTTCCCACAAAATGCTTTGTAATTTTCAAATTTCTATGTGTCAAACATATCTCTTCTTTAGACTTCTGCAAATCAGATCTGATATGGTATTATAGTTGTAATTCACTTTTTAGTTTTCCTTTTATGGTTCTTATCTAAGTCCTTTTCTATTCTTGAATTTTAACTATCTCAAATGGAAATTGTGAGTACTATCTAAAAATAGAATCTTAAACAAGTAAATCAGGGAAGTTTAATTCCCCATTATAATATAGAGACAATATATTTGTATTAGCAGCACATTACAAATTTGGTAGTAGTCAACTTTTGACAATGATATTATCTGAGATCAGTAATATCAACACAAGATTACTTACCCGGAGGGGTAGGCCACTATAAGCAATAACTAAATCTAAGTGACCAGGAAGATTGAAATAGCATGTCTAAAGCAACAGCCTAGATGATCATATCCAATTTGAACAAAGAATATATTAACAGAAGAGTTAGCATTTTAGCAGCATGGGGTTAGTCTAGCTTCCCATTTGAGACATAAGTGTTGCATCTTAGGGGCAGAGATGCAAGAGACTTTCTGTCACTAGAGCTGTACTCTCTTATGGACTGGAGATGTTTCACTAGGTCAAATCATGGCCTGAATAAACTCTTTCTCAAGATCATCTTTTTAAGAAAAAATAAAAAAAAAAAAAAGGTTTTTTTTAATGTTTATTTATTTTTGAGAGAGAGAGAGAGAATGTTAGAGTGAGAGGGAGACACAGAATCCAAAGCAGGGTCCAGGCTCTGAGCTGTCATCAGAGCCCAATGCAGGGCTTGAACCCACGAACCATAAGATCATGACTTGAGCTGACGTTGGACACTTGATCGATTGAGCCACCCAGGTGCCCCTAAAATTTTTTTTAAATGTTTATTTACATTTGAGAGAGAGAGAGAGAGAGAGAGAGAGAGACAGACAGCCAGTGTGAGTGGGGGAGGGGCAGAGAGACAAAAGGGGAGACAGAATCCAAAGCAGGCTCCAGGCTCTGAGCTGTCAGCACAGAGCCCCCTGAGGGGCTCAAACTCATGAACGGTGAGATCATGACCTGAGTCGAAGTTGAATGCTTAATCAACTGTGACACCCAGGTGTTCCCAAGATTATCTATCTCTGTCCTCTGAATCTATGCCCATCCAACAATATCTGGTTACTATCTTTTTTTTGTTTGTTTGTTTATTTCTGAGGGAAAGAGAGAGACAGAGAGAGCGCAAGGAAGAGACAGAGAGAGAGAGGGAGACATAGAACTCGAAGGAGGCTCCAGGCTTTGAGCTGTCAGCACAGAGCCTGACGTGGGGCTGAAACTCGTGAACTGTGATATCATGACCTTAGCCGAATTCGGACGCCCAACCAACTGAGCCACCCAGGTGCCCCTATCTGACTTCTCAAGTAGATGCTTTTATAAGAACATTTCAGCCCCCCTGCAGTTATAGTTCTCATTGTAAATGAATTAGCATTATGGCTTATCTATGAATTTCTTGTAAGTTTGGAAAGTGTAAGTTGGTTTCCCTGTACTCAGTTATTTCTGATTAGTTTCTGGACCTGAAAAGTCACTTCTGTGAAAAGCAGAGAGACCCTCCCTGGAGGCATTAAGTGGCCTAACTTTCCTGGGTTAGATTTCTATTTTGCCTCCCTAAACTTCAATAATTGCTAATGGCTATGTTGGAGGTTGGCCTTTTTCTTTCAAAAACCATTGAATGCCTTGGTCAAGAGTTTGCATACTTGGGCAACTGGGTGGCTTAGTTGATTAAGCGTCTGATTCTTGATTCGGCTCAGGTCATGGTCTCACAGTTGGTGGGATCAAGCCCCACGTCAGGCTCTGTGCTGACAGTGAAGCCTGCTTGGGATTCTCTCTCTCCCTCTCTCTCTCTCTGACCCTCCCCTGCTCACAAGTGCTCTTTCAAAAATAAACAAACTTAAAATAAAATTAATTAAAAAAAAAGAATTTGTATTCTCATGAAATGTAAAGAAAAGACACAAAATCATCAGGTTTGCATAGTTGAATGCCTACCTAAAGGTGCAGTCTGGTGTGAGCCACACACCATACAGTAGTTTCTGCTCATTTTTCCTTCCTCACATAATGAATCAATAAAGTCTTCATCATAAAGGAATGCATCAACGTGAACTGTGGGTTCTGGCTGCTGCTGTATCTGGTGGAGAGAAGAAGAACTTCAAAAGAAACAAAGTACAAAGGAGTCTCTTTTTATTGCTAAATAAGGCAAAACATCAGTGGTTCATATGCTAAAAATCTGAGAGCAATAACAAGGCACAGAAAGACAAGTTTCACTTATTGAAGGGCAACCCTGCTCTTCTTTCATTATTTCTGAGACAATTAGAAACTTTTAAGTTGATGCAAAATGATGTAAAACATGGCCATGAGAAATATATAAAATTTGAGTTAAAGGAGTATTTTGAGACCATCCTGTCCATCCTAAGTAGTTTATTTTACAGACAAAGAAACTGATACTCAGATTTCTCCAAAGAAAACGACCATAAGAAAGAATTGAAACTAAAACTAATACCACGTTCTTCTGAGTCCTACATGTCAGTGACTACCCATCAAAATACTTAGCAAGTAATCTTAGCCCAGAGACAAAGTTTTCAAATAATAAAGATGTTAGTAAAATTTCTTGCTGACAATTAATAACCCTTTATTAATACTGGCAAAATATGATATAATAGCAAGTGGCTACAAAGAAAAAATGTCTGATTCTTTTTACCTTAACTATAATAAAGAATCAACCTATTTACTTAGAGACCTACAAAATTATATCTATACCTACACATACATGAATCTGTTATACGTGTGTAAAATGTATGAACATAACACAAGGACCAGAAAGAAACAAAGGAAGATAAAAATCATTTGTCAGAATAAGGGATTATGGGTCAATGATTACTGGCAATGAATATACTTTTTCCTTGTTTCATATATTTTGGTATATCATGCCACTGATACAGGACTGTCTTATTAATAACATCCAAACTATATTACAAATACTCTCTCAGTTTTTATACTATTCACTACTTTCCACCTTTGAGAATCCACTCTGAATGACTGGATGTTTACTAAGATTTGCTAAGTGTTCACAATGTGCACAGCACTATCAAAAATTTATGGGATTTAGTTCTTCTGCTTAGGAATTTGCATGCTGAAAAACCACATAGAGAGTTGCTGTTTTCAGATTAGTGGGAGAAGGATTATTATTAGCTTTGCTTTAGGAAACAATATTCCTAGCATATGTACCCCATAAGAGTTGAGATCTGAAGGGACTTGAATGAGAGGGTTGTCTGGATAAGAAACATGGGACTTATTTTAGGAATAAAGGAACTGAATAAGCAAAAATTGTACAGTGCAAAAGCAGGAGAAGGAAACAAAAAGATGAATTTCACCTTTGATAAAAGTGAGGGAAATGGAACAGGAAACAGAAAACCAGGACAATGATGTAGGCAGGACCAGATTATGGTTGGGCCTTGTTCTGTAGGGGGGTGGGGATGGGTTAAGTGCTTGGCAAACAGGATGCCCTCATAAAATATTTGTTGAATGAATGGGAGCCAGAGGGTTACAGACTCAAAAGAATTAGGGACATGGCTGAAGAACCAAATGAAATACTGTTTAAAGCAGAATTCAGGACTAATTAGACCAGAGAGGCTGTGGGATTAGGGAAGAATAGGAGTATCCTCAAATAGCACTGAAAGTAAATTAATTTAATGTATTTACTTTTTGGAGCGCTAGATGTTCTGAGGAAAGCATGGTTTCTAGAGGTAAGCAATTCCGAAGGTCTTCTGCTATGTTTTTCAACATAATGTCATTATTATCTTGAGTGAACTCATCAAAATCTCCTGGGGAAAAAAAAAAAAGAAATATCTTTTATGGTTTTGGTCATACCTAAGTTAATACAATGGACATATTTTCCATCAGAAAGCATCAATTTATAACAATAAATAAGCCTTCTAACCAATGAAATATTCAAATTCTAATAAACGTTCCATTTCAAATAGTGAATTTTTCTTTTTCCCAAATTGTTTGAAAATACAAAACTTGACTATTTCAGCCTGTTCAAGAAGAACAAAGGAATTTAAAATATATATAACATTTTAAGGGCACCTGGGTAGCTCAGTTGGTTAAGAGTCTGACTTCAGCTCAGGTCATTATCTCTTGGTCCATGAGTTAGAGCCGTGCATCAGGCTCTGTGCTGACAGCTCGGAGCCTTAAGCCTGCTAAGAATTCTGTGTCTCTCTCTGCCCCTCCCCTGCTTGTGCTCTCTCTGTCTCTTAAAAATAAACATTAAAATAAGTAAACACATGAATAATATGTAGTATTTAAACTATTTTTACTCGAAAATAGCACTGCCATTAGTTTTTTAGGGTCTTAAACTCACCAGCAAGTGGTTAAATATTCCTTCTCAGACCATACAGATCTTAGTGTAGGAGGCATCACAGAGACTGCTAAGAAGATAACTAAACTGAGTATCCCTGCCTCCAACAAAATGTACCTAAGCCTTAAGATAATAAGCACTAATGGCTGACACCAACTATGTAATAAACTTAACAATGACCGTGATGCTCTGCTGCATTTGAGCAGCAGGTAAAATTATCATTAAAACTGTATTTCTGGGGGTGCGTGGCTGGCTCAGTTGGTGGAACATGCAAATCTTGATCTTGCGGTCATGAGTTTGAGTCCCTTGTTGGGGTGTAGAGCTTACCTAAAAAAAAAAAAAAGCATATTTCTTTTTTGAGAGGGAGAGAGAGAGAGGGAGGGAGAGAGGATCCGAAGAGGGCTCTGTGCTGACAGCAGTAAGCCCGATGTAGGGCTCAAACTCATGAACCTCAAGATCATGATCTGAGCCGATGTCAGACACTCAACCAACTGAGCCACCCAGATGCCCCAAAAGAAAATATTTCTGATGGCTATGGCCTACTTCTGGATGATCTGGCAAAAAGTGGAGGGGTAGATGAGGTAAGGGAGAGTATGTGTAGCAATAAAGATGGGGAAGGTCTAGTTAAGAGATTGACAGCTGATGAATCTAGGTGAGGGTATAAAAGGGGTGTTTATTGTTCAGTTGTTTCTACTTTTAGGCATGTTTAATATTTTCTGGTTCTAAAAAAGTATTATTTCCAAGCAGCTCATATGTAATTTTATTTTTTTTCTCTCTTTTTTTTTTTTTTTAAATTTTTTTCCAACTTTTTTTATTTATTTTTGGGACAGAGAGAGACAGAGCATGAACGGGTGAGGGGCAGAGAGAGAGGGAGATACAGAATCGGAAACAGGCTCCAGGCTCTGAGCCATCAGCCCAGAGCCCGACGCGGGGCTCGAACTCACGGACCGCGAGATTGTGACCTGGCTGAAGTCGGACGCTTAACCGACTGCGCCACCCAGGCGCCCCTGTAATTTTAAATAGAATGTGACTTATCTGAAAGTAAAATACTCATAAAGTTAGCTACCACTTGGGATGCCAAATGTAGACTGGAAAGTACTACTAATGAAAATATTTTACCTTTCTCTGAAAAGACTTTCTTATACTGAACTCTTACTAGAGTAAAAGCATGCCAAAGGGTCTGTTTCAAAATAGCTGTAGAAGGAAAACACGGAGATCCTGAAGGTTAATGTCATCTGTCTCCACATTCCCTGCCCCCGAATTGTGGGCTGTTTGTAAGTAAGCTCATGATTTGTTCTTAAACAAAAAAATAATTCTTGTGTTGGTTCAGAATGCTATTATCCTGTCACTAATAACAATTAAAAGTTACAAAGCAGGCCAATGGCAGCATAAGGAAATAAGCGGAGGTTTTCTGATTCTAAATAAAGATACTCTTCTTTTTCACTGTATTATTCGGTGCCTTACACACAAAGGATCTTTCTCTGCATAACTTCTCACTGAGCAACAGTAATACAAAGATTCAGTTTGCTGAACGGATGTGAGAAGGTCTTTGAGCTTTTTTTCTTTCCTCACCTATCTAGCATAATGTTCTAAGCTGTTGCTTAAAGTTATTTCTAGAAGGAGACAAAACATAAAATTATAGAGAAACAAAAATACTATTAAAATTCATTCCAAACTCTTTTAGGTGGAACTTAAACAGCATCTGATATGTGTTTTTCAAAAAATTGGCCTTTTTAATTGTATTTGTAAAATCTAAGTTTTCTCAAGGTGTTAATTAATATCTAACATCTGCTTAGCTTCCTTCCCTCCATAGATAGAACACTGTCTGGGAGTCTCTATGACTCACATTAATTCTAATAATATCACTCCCACCAGTGATCCTTAGCAGGTTCTCTCAATTTGTAAATGGTATCACTAGAAAAGCCAAAAAAAGTCTCATTATGTTAAACTAAGATATTTCCTATCCCAACTTCTTTGGATTTAATTCTGTAACATAAGCAACCATATTAATAAAACATAGTTTTCATGTGGGTCTGCCTTATAAAAAGCAGCCCAGAGACTCCTGGGTGGTTCAGTCAGTTAAGTGTCTTGACTGTTGATTTCGGCTCGTGAGACTGAGCCCCGAGTCATGGAGCCTGTTGAGGATTTTCTCTCTCTCCCTTTCTCCCTCTCTCTGCCCTTTCCCTGCTCATGTACCTGCATGCTTCTCTCTCTCAAAATAAATTTAAAAAAAGTCTTACAGTGAAAAAGGAACTTAGACTATGACCTATTACCAAATGGCCCATCCATCTATGCATCTCTGATATATACATATGCATACACAGACACACACAGACACACAGACACACACAGACACACAGAAACACACACACACACACACACACACACACACACACACGATAGTTGTTTAGTCTTTGCTTGAACGTATTCAGGGACAGAATTCCTTCCTCATGCTGAGCCAGAATCTGACTCTCTATAACATTAACTCATTTTTTCTGAGAGGAATCATCACCTTTAACGCTATACAACATTTACTGAATGAACACTTGAGGCATGCTAGACTTGGTACTTTTCACACACTATCATTTAATCCTAAAAATCCTATAGGTGGTAACTATGATTATTTCTATTTTGTAACAAAAACAACGAAAATATGAGGTCAGAGGTTCAGTTACTTGCCTCAGTCATACTGGCCAAAAGGTGGAGTTGGGGTTTAAATGCAGGGCTTAGTCTGAACTCTTAATTACTACATCATAGCAAAGAAGGCAGCTGGCTAGTAACAGTTCTCCTATCACTACCATAATCTTCTCTTCTCCCCACCTCTGACCAGTTCTCCATATGATGTGGCAGCCATATCTTTTGCCATCTGCTTGCTGTCTTCTGGACTTGTTCAACAAAACCCTTTAAATATAGCCTTGGAACTCACATTCCCAATCTAGTTCTCTAATCCATGGCTACCTTCGTTTATTCTCTTCTTCTATCACATTGTGGAGGCTAGGGCCCTGATTACTACTGCTACTGGGTGATTAATAAATTTGGAAGCGATGGTGGCAGTGGAGGCCAAAGAGTGTCTTCAATAGTCATATGTAAAGATCAAGGAAGCTGGAACAATGACAGATGGGAATGGCTGCAAATTCTAAGCCATCACAATCGATTTCCAGCTGTCTCTCTGGTGAAGTATGTTTATTTGAGAGTCAATACTTCAATTAATGTGAGCATTACCAGTTGAGAGATACTATGAAAAGGTGTATTAAATTCAGTCATTTAAAAAAGGTAGTTATGAATGAAGACTGCATTTGTTTAACCCCAATACCAAGGATACCAAGTGAAAAAGAGAACTGGCACCTCTTACCCTGAACAAACTCTGATTCAACCACATTCAAGGGTAAAGAGAGATTTTTTCAGTTACAGCAATGATTCCTTTTTTTTTTTTTTTAAGTTTATTTGTTTTGAGAGAGAGAGAGAGCACAAGCAGGGGACGGGCAGAGACAGGGAGAGAGACAGCATCCCAAGCAGGCTCTGTGCTGTTAGCATGGAGCCCGATGTGGGGCTTGAACTCATGAACTGAGATCCTGACCTGAGCCAAAACTGAGAGTCAGACTTAAACTGACTGAGCCACCCAGGGGCCCCAAGCAGTAATTCTTCAGTGTGGCCCTAAAGAGGATCTACATATGGGACTTATGTGGTCCTTAAAGGGCCTAAAGCTGTATGCTCGGTTGTATACATAAATATGTATATTTTTCCAGGAAGAAAGTTCTTAAGAGGTTCAATAATTATAGCTAATACTATTGAGCACTATGGCAATTTTTAGTGCAAGAAGGCTAAAATTAGTCTTAGTATCTGTAGTGGTTGGCAAATAACTTCTGAAAAGAAGAGCAAAACATTTTTGCCCTAATAATGGCTATAAGGTTAAAAAAGCATGATATGATAGGATATTACTGAAGTGTGTAAATCTGAACTTCACGTTATATCGTTAACTATTTACTCTGTTATTAAAGTGGAATTTCTTAAAACATCATTTCTAAAGGCTGTGCAATATTCCACCATTGTGTATTTATTTAACCATTCACTTCTAATGCACATTTAGATATAGCTCTAACTGTGAAAAATTAAGGACACTGCAACTAACATTTTGGCATTCATCTTCTCTTGCATTTCTGATTATTTGCTTATTGTAAATGGTTAGAACTAGAAGTACTTAAACATTTTAAAGGCTCTTGCTACGTATTGTCAAATTTCTTTCCTGAAAGATAACACCAATTTACTTTAACAGAAAAGAATATGTGTTTCATTAAACCCTGCAGCAGTAAATATTACCATACAAACTTTATTGTTTTAATTTGCATTTCCTTAATTACTGGTGAGGCTGACATCTTTTAACATGTATAATAGCTATTTCAGAATGTGTGGTAACAGTATTATGCTTGGAAAAAGATTAAAGAAAGGTGTTAGTTGCTTGCCAGT